TAATATTTCCTGAAAATATATTTTTCAAAATGGCCTCGACAACATTTTTAAGACTTCTATTCTGCAAGTCGTTCTGTCGGTTCCCGTAGGGACTGAACGGGAATAATACAATCTGTACAAAATTGTCGGATACCATCCAATAGTATAATATATGTTGCTATAACGACACACTATTTGACCTTCTGCGTCATCCTGTACGCAATAGGTTTGAAAAGTCCATAGACCAATATATGCAATAATAAGTCGTCGTAAAGTTTGGCATTGCACATTTACCGGGTAAACGACACCCTTGGGAATAATTTAAAAATTCAAAACACCAAATAGCAAATTCGTTTCCAATCATTCGATACACAAAAATATAAACAATATTTCATATCAATAAATCAATATGAAAATAATATACGTGTACCCATAACCCATTCATGCAAACATAGGTCATAGGTGTGATAATTTCACTACCTATTGTAAATGCTTGTCATTTTGTTGTACCTACCTATGTTTAGAGTCCAAACAATTTTACCGTTGCTTATTTTCGGAACTTCTTGTGAAGTCGAGTTCTCTGCAAGGTATTGAGTCCTTAAATTGGATTTTAATACAAGAGATAAAATATGTTGCTGATGGTAAAACAATATTTACTACAGTTATTACAGTTTCATAAAAATAAACTAAAATGAAACGTACAAGTACTGAACCGAACAATTATAATAAATTATAAATTAAAACCCAAGATACAAGAGTAATGACATAATAACACATTTACATTGGTATATATAAAATGAAATAATAGAGGCTTTAACAGTTCAGTGCTTAAATTATCATTGATAATTAACATTTAAACAGATTAAAGTTAGTGTACTAACTAATAGTTAGTGCTAGATTTCTACAAAGCGTTATTGCACGATAAAGCCAACTTTTACTATCAAAATTGAAAATTTACATCATAATTTGGTGCAATTATATTAATATATATGTTCATTGTCCTTAGTGTTATAATTATGTTTATATATAATTATATAAGTAAGTCTTTTTATGTTTGAATACTAAGGACAGAATACATTTGGTAAGCAGTTTGCCATAATTTGATACACGTTTAATTCCTTATAATATATTATATAAAATCAGTACCTATATTTGTAACACTACGTAATTTTTCTCACTCTAGTTAAAAGGCCTGCAGCACGTGACCTGTTTTTTGGTCAAAAACACGACTTACAATAAAACTTGGTTGAATTAATTACAATGAGCCTGGGACTTGGATTTTCTAAATTCAATTTCTAAACCATATAGATTACGATTTTGAATGACCAATTTTAACAAGTTATTGGTTTTTATTATTTTTGTTTTAATCAACAATTAAAGCCCAATGTGCTCTGTAGAAAATCATATCCTCTTTTTAATAAAAAAAAAATTAATGAAATCAGACCACTCTACGAGGCATGACTCGCGTGAGAGTATTTCCTGTAAAGCGTGTCTTGAGCAAAAATTCACATTTCTAATATTTGGTCAGCGCTGCAGCCGTTGACATGTGCGTGCACTCTATAATCACTATATAATATTGGTTTGTAATATTTGTTTGATTTTGGTTTATAACAAAAAGGTTCTATCTTGATATTATTGGTCTAGGATTAGCATATTATAGGTAGTGCAAATTTTAAAAAAAATCTACAGGCTATAGCAGCTGCAGTAATATATATTATTCTTTTTCTGCATATTATATTATTGTTGTTTTTTTTTCGCAATAAAATATTGCATTTATTGAATATTTAGTATTAAGCGACGACCCACTTAACAAATCCAATTATGATTTTGATTCAATTTAATGATGGTACAATATTTAAGCTACACATATGACATATCACTCTGTTTATAATATTGTATGTATTTATTACATTTTTAAACACTACATATTAAATTAGTTTCGCCCTGGTATTCATAGGTGTAACTAGAGAATTTTTTCTGGGGGGGAGGGGGTGGCTGGAATTGTATCAGCAGCACAGACATTTGATTTTAAACTAAAATATGATTTAAACTGGTGGGGCTAAGGATAAAAAAGGAGGCTAAGGATAAAACAGGGGGCTAAGCCCACCCAAGCCCCCCTCTAATTACGCCTATGCCAGTCTCACACCACTATTCATCCACTGTGTGAACACACATTCATTTTGTGTGTTTGTCTGTAGCTTATTATAGTAAACTCTAAATAGTAATGAATAATGATAAATAATAGTACCCATATAATATATTAGGTATACAGCACGAAAGGCCTCTTGAGTAGGACCCCTCATCAGTGGCGATTGTTCACGTCTGAGCCATATATATTATGTGTACACACTGCGCATGCTCATGTCAGCCTTGACACTGGTACGTATATTATTATGACGACATGTACTCCGATTGAAATTTGAAATAAATTCAAACAGGTCGTGTACACCGCACACACATTGCACTGGCGCAGACACCACGGATAGACACTACGCTTCTGTACACAATATTATTTATTTATTTATATTTTGCTCTAGTATCCTTGTTACATAAATAATTGCCGTCTCCGGCTGCAATAAAGCAGCTTTAAACTGGGTTTTTTTTTAATGTCTGTAAATTAAATAGAAAAAAATACGTCGTATAATGTTGAACGTAAATCGGGCGATCACGAGGGCGTCTTATCGCAATCACGACTCGCGCATATCAATAAGGGCATGACAAAAACGTGTAGAATAATTATTATACTACTTGTCTACTTACCTATATTGTAATATAGGTAGGTACCTACAATATATACCTACCTACCCAAATATATATCATAATATAGTAAAATATATCGTATTGCATACGTGAATACATGACATTATTATGAATAAATTATTATATCATTCGACCTCTGTGGTTCATCGAATATTATATTATGCATTTATAAGCTGTTAAAGCTTGAAGCGATATAATTTAACCCATTTACAATGGAGGAAATCGCCTTTTAAGGGGGGCGTTATTCCCATGTAGTTATATAGAGATTCCCGTATCATACCCAGGGAGACAGGGGGGTATTGTTTGGTCTGGGGGGACTCAGCCCATTCCCACACCTTGGTTATGGCCCAGATTATAGGTCGGTAGATCACATATAGGTGGTTACTGTATAAGTATAGACGTATAGTATATAATATATTGTAATAGTTGTATCCTGTAAATATAATAAACATCGAAAATCATTTGTAATTAAAGTATAATTTTGGAATATTATTGTAGTCATTCAAACAGGATGACGAGGGGGGATAGAAGGGGGGGCCCGCCACAAAATCATTTTACCGCAAAACCGGTAGTACCTATGCCTAAACAGAAAACACATTATTACGCTTTAAGCGCACCCGCATAGATACATAAGACAAATATTTACCTACGTATTTTTATTTTTCTTTCGCATAAGTCATAAATCATAATATATATAATTATCAATTACAAATTAGTAATTACCCGTCATTTGAAAACGGATGTACATTAAAACGAATACAATTCAATCACCGTATTAGGTTTATTAAAAATTATGACGTTTGGGTTTTTTGATTTGTTTCCGTTCAAGTTCTAATGTAATGTTAATTATACTGTATGTAGTACGTCTGTACAAGACTTACTTAAAACTTATTCATATCTCAAGTGTGCTGTGTCTGTGTATACTGTGTTCAATACATAAACTATACTACTTAATATTAGTGTTGTGTTGAACAATGTTTACCATTATATAATAATTTATAATGTGTATTGAAATTTGATGTTATTTCCATAGTCCCTTTAGCTCTAGAATGACCAATACAATCAACGAGTAGATATTTAGGTAAACATAACGCTCGTCATTTTAGTTTTTTTATTGGTGCCAAAATATTTGCAGTATATCAGTAGATACATCATGACCAAGCCACAATATACTATATTATCACTTTATACTACTCCCCCTTTCTATTTGCTATTTTAATATAACTATAGATAAATTAAATTTTATAACAAACAGTGGTTGTATTTTATACTTTGTACCTACATACCTACGGGCTACGACAAACATTTTTGTAATGTAGTACAGTATGTACAAATAATCTTTGTTTGTTATAATTTTTTTCATTATAATATACAATACATTCCAAAAGTTCAGTGACACCCTAAGTTTTCCTCGACAAATCAATATATTTAAATTCAGTTTTTTAAAGCGAATTAAGTTATTGACTTCTTGAGAATAATATACCTACCTAGTTATGCAGTTAGGAAAACACGAATCGCATGATTTAATCAACCTCGATTGGAACGTGGGTTTTATCTATGACAAAATGTATACAAATCTAATTACTATAGGGGAGCTTTACATAGTTAATATATTCAATGCAACATTATAACTAGAGGATAATGATATTTCGCCAGTTTCCAAAAATCAAGACATTAATCTGTTTATACAATTATACAACTTGAGTTTTTGACGATCTGAATATTCAATTCCATAGCTTGCAGCTTGTCTGAAACTTTCATTATTTCGGGAGTAACATTTTATAACCATACGACATTGTCGAATGTCGATAAATCATGCACTGTGAAGGTATAAATAATTTTTTTAATGTAAAACAAAATAGTTTAAATAGTAGCAGCGCCGGCGGGAGGTTTTGCGGGGCCCGGGGCAGATTATTTTGATGGACTCTAGCCTAATGTAATGTAAAAAAAAAATTTTCGCAAGTCCTATTACTTATAGGTACTTCAGTACTTGTATGAAATTTTTTTCAGTTTTACATAACTTACCTATACATAATATAAAACATTGTATAAAACGTTCACTTGTAAATATGTATTTATTTCTTAAAACAGTTAAAACATAAAGCTACAAATATTATTTTGCTTATACACCTAATTTATTGGATACATTTTTCATATAAAAATAAAATATGTACAAGTTAAATGTTTATGTGAACTGCACTAAAGTACACTAAATACAAGTTTTACACAAAAATTAAAAAAAAACTCAAGATTTTAAAATTTCAAAATTGTTTTTTTCTAGCTTTGGCTGCAGCAAAAATTGCAATCAGCTCACTAAAATCTAATGAGTCGGTAATTTTTTGTTCAATCGATAGAGTAGCTAAGCTTGTAAGTTTGCACTGTGATAAAGTACTCCTTAAATAGTTTTTAATTATTTTCAATTTGGAAAAACTCCTTTCCGCACCAGCTGATGTTACAGGAATTGAGAGTATTATTCGGAGTGCTATCGAAATATTTGGAAAAGAACCACAACATTTTTTTAGTACTGAAAGAGCTTGAAAAGCTGTCGTTTCTTCAGAAATTATAGTACAAAAAATAAGTAATTCTTCATACAGTTCATAACCATCTATATCTTTTAATTCACCATCAGTTAGACCGTTTTGTAGATCATGGCAACATTTTCTTAACTCTTCTTTTTCCATGAATTTTATTTTGCTAATCCGATATAAAAAACCAAAATTATTATTAAACGTTTCAAGCTGTGAAAATCTCATATTCATAGAAACGATAGCTTGATCAACAATAGTTAAAAAATAATCTTGATAAAAAATAGTTTCCTCATTTTTAGATGGTTCATCTTGAGTTTCATACGAAAACGTTTTTTTTTTATTTCGTATACGGATTTTTTTAAAATCAGCAGAAACTCCTATAGCCTCTGCCAAATCTTTAGCAGTTGTTTTTGCAGATTTAAATCCAGTATTTCTATAGTCATTTAAAAATGAGAGTAGCCCATTTAACATACTAGCTGAAATATCTAAATCCATGTTCGGGCTCTGAAGACTTTTGCTTATTGTATTAACTTCTACTAACACGTCGGTTTTTTTTTAATACCTAATTTATTTTTACTCTCACTCGTTTATTATATGAAAAACCCAAAAGCTGCAACTGCAGACGGCCAGCCGAGACTTGTATTTTTAAATTGAAAAACAAAATTGTGGTCTTACAAATTATCAAATACCATACATGCAGGCGCGGGGCCCCAAAATGGCGGGGCCCTGGGCAGATGCCCCTTCTGCCCTGCCCTTCCGCCGGCGCTGAATAGTAGGATTAACATAAAAAAAAAATCCTCGAGATTGGTTTAATCATATGATTCGTGTTTTGCTACTATAACTATATTATTCTAACGTAGTCAACAACTTAATTTGCTTTAACTTGGTCGACTTTCACTGAACTTCAATATGATTTTTTTTAAAACTGTAATAAAAATATGATCAAGAACAGCTATATTGAAAATGTATACGACTCAACTTTATAGTGTATACACTTTAAACATTTTTAATTTTTGGAACAAACATTTTTATCTTATTCCGTTCAATTAGAATTTCCATAACTATTACTGTAAAAAATTCTTTAAACACACATTTAAATATATTGATTTCCCATGGAAATACAATGGTGATAGGTACCTACTGGAATTTAGTGACAAACTGTATACCGCAACGATCTGTTACAATGTTTTCTTTGCAATTTGTCAATATTGTCGGACCACAGCAAAATGTGATTTGAACAGTATAAAAATGTATATGTATAGATAATTGTAAATTTGTAAATACTGACTGAATATTAGTTTTAAAACACATTTCGGTCTTTCGGAAATTTAATTTTAATTTTGGAGAGGCCAAAGAAGGCGTTTTACCAAAAATAGGTGTGAATGCACCCCCTGTCCATCAACAAACTGATAAACATACATTTTATATTATTACATAATGATATTTTCAGTGCACAATGTGACAACTTTTTCTCTAGTTGTTATTGAATCGACGTTTAACAAGTTCTAATAAAACGTAAACACTGTTCAAATATATTAAAATAATCACGGACCTGATTTACAAAATCAATGTGCTCGCCGCTCGGAATATGAATAATGTGGTTTTTCGTCGCTCCGGTCACGTAGGATTAAAATAATTTTGTAAAGGTTACTTGTGGAATCTGAGACATCAGATCTAAGGTTACCTGTCAAAACGGGACCCACAACAAGCAAGGGTCATTATGTATTCATTGGCTCATGGCAGGCACAATCAACGATTTTTGTATTCGGTGTTATTTATTAATTTATTACAAATTATCTCGTTTCGAACGGGCTTGGCCCGATTTGGTTCATAAATTCGTGGCGCATATAATATATGCATTTAAATATATATGTATTATATTCAAATGCATAGGTTAGGTATGTGCATCAGTGTGTGTGTGTGCGTGTGTGTGTGTATTTTTGTGTATTATATACCTATACATTATATTATTATGGTTTCATAAATCCGGACTGAATAGCTAATACCTCATTGTAAACGAAACAGACGGAAACAGATAAATGCAGGTTATATTATATTATTATATTATCATTTATAATAATATATAAAATGTATTAAATTATAATAACCACAACACAATATGTGTCCGTATACAATGTTATGGTTAACATATTGCTTCCCGAAAATCGTGAAAACAATAGCGTTATTTTGTGATTACTCCGCACTAGACACTAAACATAGGTAGGTATGTAGTATTATTATATATATAATATGTATGTGTGTGAGTATGTACTAATAATAATATTATGTACAACGCTTTAATGCCATGCACATGTATAATATACGGACGCGTAAACTACGCCGGCGTGAATGTCGTATTATTTATAATGTTATGAGCCCATTCCTAATTTTACGACGATATAATATAATATTATATTGTATTTCCGTCTAAGGGCCAAAGAAATACGTTTTTTGAATACTAAAGTGTTTTTTTTGCGTTTTTCCCCTTTTTGTGTGTGCAGCCGCGAAAAAATAAATAATAATATTACGAACCCGTATCTGTGGTAGTATTATTATTAAATTAAATTATTCGATGGCGATATATTGTGATGGCGACCGTTTAGACTTTAGACTGCTGAATTCCAAAATATTCTATAATAACGAGTGGCGATAATAATAATTTTTTTTTAATAAAATTAAATACCGTTTTTTGAAACTTGATGTTTGGGGGGGGGGGGGGGTGAGAAAGAGACATGATGAAGGACATCGGCGACAGTCGTATAAACCGTATAAATAATTCATAAGGTGCGAAAAGCGAAATTGACGGTACGCCACCAGTGAAAGCTGACAGAAAGCTAACGATGATGACTTTTCGAAATGATGACCTTATACAAACCCTCGCCATCGAGGGGCAAATATAAACCACATTAAATATAAAACAGATTGCTTATAACTTATTACTTACAACCGATTGCTGTTTTCTACAGGTCGTCGCGTCGTGATGAAAAACCATAATGTATGTATTTTATACGAGTGTACTGCACAATTCGTTTCGTATTGCTATGAATGCTAGTATGCTACAGATATTTTAATGTAGTCTCAAAATTGTATTAAAATCTCATTAAAAATCTGAAAGATCAATAAACTTTAATCCGTCCCACTTCGAAATAAAATTACGTGCCCGCACAACGACTTGAACGTTGACGGATGGACGCATATTCCGTATTCGTCATTATTCTATCCTATATTGTATTATAGGTAAACACGGAACCAGAAAAATAATAATATAATCTGATCTGATTATAAGTGTGTGTGCTAGATGAAATCAGATTTACAAACGTTAACATTTACAGTTGAAACAGACAATGGCGCCTATTGGCGATTTAAATTGATAAGATGTAACGGGGACGCTGTGTATCATTTGTATGTTATTTTACATGTTGCCCGTTACAGATCCACCCCCCCCCCCCACCGGCCTGGTAATTGATAAGCTTTCAAATAATACTTTGAGCTATTATTGTCGACGATTTTTCATTTTTTAATAACAGTACCAACGTGGCAATGACGCAATGTACACCAAGTGACGAGTAGAAGATTGTGTGAAGACGAAATCTATTTTACTTATAAGTTAAGACCATGGCGCTTTGTGATCAATTAAAAATATATGCCCTAAACGTATTACGTCGTACGCAATATAATAATCAAATAAATACAATACATAACTAATTTATAGGTAAATAAAGTTTTTTTAAATAATATTATTAGGTAGGTACCTACCTATATTTATTGTAAACCGTTATTGTGTAGTTTTGTATTAAAATGCTAAACATTTACTAGAATCGGATGTCTGGAGTCTGTAGATGCGTATAGCGCAAAAGGAGTAGGTAAGATTTTATATTATTTTTACTCTTCAACAAAGTAACATAATTATATTTTTTTTCTCTACGGTTAACCAAATGATTTATATATACATATAAACAAAAATGGTTAAGGTAAAGTGGTATACTGTAGACATTTTGTCTTTTATTTATTACACATTGTAATTATTATTAGTAATTACGCTTCAGCTATACTGTTCATGGTGTTCAGTGTAGTACGTTTTAACTTGAGTTATTGTACTGCTACCGACTAAGTTTGTTCGTTAAACATTTAGGTCAATGATGTTGATTTCCCCCGTTTCTGCTAATAAATGGTAAATAATTAAACAAAAATACGTTTCTTTGTATCTTGTTGGAAATGCCATTTAATAATTTTCAGACGTTAGAGCTCCCTAAAATAAAAACAATAAATTTAAATAATTATTTAATTTTTAAAAACGCCTTCAGATAATAATATAGACATGCAGAATATAAACCAATCATATAATATTATTTTTAATCATAATAAATAATGTTCAGTAATACCATACGTCCGTCGTCCATACTACCTAGTAAATACTTAGTAACTTGCTATACAGTTCTATAATAGGTACTAATATATGCTATATTATAATACCATCACTATTTCATTATAACATTAACTATTTTCCGAGTTTTCAATAAACCTAATTTTGATAATTATATTTAGTGGAAAACATTTTAAAAGTTTACTGAATGAATACAATATAATTTTAATTGCAATGGAGCACTGAAAGTTATTTTCTTATGAACAATTTACAAAACATTAAAATCTAGAGATTTAGATTTGTTTATACTTAATTTAAATATCTTAAATAATCCCATCGTCTTTTCTATGTTTCGATAAATTTAAATACCTATTCAATTATAAATTATTCTGCCACTTGCAAAGTTGTAAGTGTACACAATTTTTATTAGTACTTTGGTTAATTATTTATATTATAAATGTAAAAGATATACGTGCTGGCATTCTAGTGATCAATTATAATATCCACTGACATTTTTAAAAATTGTACATATTATATCATATAATATATAAATAATATATTATAAATTATAATTGTATTATTTGTGCAACTATGTGATAATTGATAGACTTTGATTGTTTAGTTTCATTATTTTATTTAAATTTAATATGGGAAGTCTGAAATGGAGTAAAGTGATACTGTAATATATAGTATA